AGCGCTGTAGCCTCCATGTGTATGACACCTTGATACTGTTGCCCCTCTGAAAAAGAAGGCAGTGAAACAGAGGAGGCTAGCCCCATGGTACAGCTTGCAGCTCCGCTCCCTAAAGCAGGCATCACGAAAAATGGAAAGGAGGTGGCGCTCCACTAAGTCAGAAGAGTTTTTCATAGCCTGGAAAGATAGTTTAATAACATATAAGAAAGCCCTTCATAGTGCCAGAACCGCATTTTATTCATCACTGATTGAGGAAAATAAGAACAACCCCAGGTTTCTTTTCAGCACTGTAGCCAGGCTGACAAAGAGCCACAGTGCTGTTGAGCTTAACATTCCCTTAGATCTCAGCAGCAATGACTTCATGAGCTTCTTTACAAATAAAATCACAACTATTAGAGAAAAAATTGGTCGGACCACTCCCACAGCTCTCGCAGATGTGCCATCTACTACAATGGCTTTAGAAACATCTGTAAGACCTCATTTATACTTGGACTACTTCTCCCCTATAGATCTCTCTGAGTTGACCTCAACAATTGCTTCATCTAAATCATCAACATGTCTCCTGGACCCCATCCCGACCAGGCTGCTCAAAGACGTCTTTCCCCTAATCAACACATCCATACTAGATCTGATTAACCTCTCTCTATTAACAGGTTATGTTCCACAGGCTTTTAAACTTGCAGTAATTAAACCTCTACTCAAAAAGCCTACTCTTGACCCAGGTGTCCTAGCTAATTATATACCAATATCCAATCTCCCATTTATTTCCAAAATCCTTGAAAAAGCTGTTGCAAAGCAGTTATGTGACCACTTGCACAAGAATGATTTGTTTGAGGATTTTCAGTCAGGATTTAGAGTCCATCATAGTACAGAAACCGCATTGGTGAAAGTCACCAATGATCTTCTGCTAGCCTCGGACAAAGGACTTGTCTCCATACTTGTCCTCTTAGATCTCAGTGCTGCTTTTGACACCATTGATCACAGCATCTTACTGCAGAGACTTGAACATGTTATTGGGATTAAAGGAACTGCGCTAAGTTGGTTCAAATCTTATTTATCAGAAAGATTTCAATTTGTTCATGTTAATGACGAATGTTCCACACAAACTGAAGTTAGTCACGGCGTTCCACAGGGCTCTGTGTTAGGTCCAATTCTCTTCACTTTATACATGCTCCCTTTAGGCAATATTATCAGGAAGCACAACATAAATTTCCATTGCTATGCAGATGATACTCAGTTATATTTATCTATGAAGCCAAATGAATCAGGTCAGCTGGTCAAACTTCAAGCATGTCTTACAGACATAAAGGCCTGGATGACCTGCAACTTCTTACTTCTAAACTCTGACAAAACTGAAGTTATTGTGCTTGGGCCTGAACACCTTAGAAATCTGCTGTCTAATCATATAGTTACTTTAGATGACATAGCTCTTGCCTCCAGTAGTACTGTGAGGAACCTTGGAGTCATCTTTGATCAGAATATGTCCTTTAAATCACACATAAACCAAGTCTCTAGATCTGCCTTCTTTCACCTGCGCAATATTGCAAAAATTAGGAGCATCCTGTCTCAAAGTGATGCTGAAAAACTGGTCCATGCATTTGTTACTTCCAGGCTGGACTATTGTAACTCTTTACTATCAGGATGTCCCAATAATTCCCCAAACAGCCTCCAGTTAATCCAAAATGCTGCAGCCAGAGTACTGACAGGAACTAGCAAGAGAGATCATATCTCTCCCATATTAGCTTCTCTCCACTGGCTCCCTGTAAAATTCTGAATAGAATTTAAAATCCTTCTCCTAACATACAAAGCCCTTAATGACAAGGCTCCATTGTATCTTAAAGACCTCGTAGAGCCTTATCATCCTAACAGAGCACTTCGCTCTCAGAGTGCAGGTTTACTTGTGGTTCCTAGAGTCCACAGAAGCAGAATGGGAGGCAGAGCCTTTAGCTATCAAGCTCCTCTCCTATGGAACCAACTCCCAGTCTCAGTTCGGGAGGCGGACACCCTCTCTACCTTTAAGATTAGACTTAAGACGTTCCTTTTTGATAAAGCTTATAGTTAGGGCTAGATCAGGTGACCCTGAGCCCTCCCTTAGTTATGCTTCTATAGGCCTAGGCTGCTGGGGGGCCCCCATGATGCTCTGAGTTTCTCAAGGGGGATTTGTTGGGTTTTCCCTATGTAATAATATTGATAACAGTAAGGTCTAGACCTTACTTTGTAAAGTGTCCTGAGATGACTTTTGTTATGATTTGGCGCTATACAAATAAAATTTGATTTAAAATTTGATTTGATTTGATTTAATAATTCTTTAGTATATTACTTGTGTGGTGTAGAAGATAATTATTTAAGAATGTAATTATGTAAGAATGTTAACACTCTGTTATCATTTTTTTTGTATATTACTTTGTATATGGTGTAGAAGAGAATTATTTATGTAGAGATACTGCTTGCAAATCAATGATGGTAAGATGATGTCATGGGGTAGGACTGGATAAGTCTGACTTCTTCCTACTCCATTCAAGCATGTACTAGGTATAAGCAAATTGATATTGGATTAGCATTTGTTGGATATGTGTAAAATTATGTGTGTTGACACAATGACGTGTTACATGCTTGAAAGAATAAATCAAATCAAATCAATACATATTAATACAGAAACCATATGGCCCCTGGTAACCACTGTAAGTCGTCTCATGTTTTCTACATTCTTTTCATTAGAGCAGAGTGAAAAGAATGTAGAAAACATGAGAACACATTATTTAGAGAACTCTTTATCACTCCATTCACATCAGATGTATTTGTCATGACATTTAAATCTATTGTTTCAAATCAATCGTTTTCTCTCCCACCACCACCACAGGAAAAGTTCTGGCCACTTCACAGGGTGAAGTTTCACACAGTGGAGCTTTAATTCTTGACTGTATTTTAATTAGTACAGTACTAAAGTGTTGGAGTAACCCTTTCCTAGGGATATTATCCCTTTATAGACTATTTTTCACTATTGTGTCCTAAAACCAGTACCATGGCTGGGCTCTCAAATTCCGCTGTAATCCTCTAAGTGATCAAGTTAAAGACAGCTTGTTAATGCCTCAGTGTTCAGTTACCTCACATGCACTTTGATCTCATTTTCAAAATAAGGCTTGTGATTTTGACGTGGCATTTTCCAGCATATTCTCTCTACTGGTTTTTTTGCCATTTGTATCAGTGATTTAAAAGTCTGTCATTGCGAATAGTACCTGTTGGGAAAATTTGAACACTGAAGGCTGTGGTGCGCCCCTGCTTTCCTCGTGACACCCCCGGTGACACACTTTCCACTGAAGTACCACTTTAAAATCAAGCTCATTGGTGTAATCATTCTTCATAAGGCTCATAATGATTAGAGGGAAACGCAAAATGCATTTCTTACCGTGAACAATTCAGCCATCACCAAAAGATTTTATCGGGGCAGTTCAGCTCCGGTATCAGATTAGCTGGATATTTTTTCTTTAACCTCTTTAACCTTTGTTCAGTGGAACAAGCGTTTTACTTTAGTGGAATATTTTCTTGTGTGGTTTTCAAACCACTAACATTTAACAGAAATGAGGTCTAAAAGAGTCATAAAAGCTGAATCACTGAAATGCTTTTGGTTTGTTTCACCATTCTCATCTTTGAATTTAATTTAATAATGATCTTTCATAGGTGTTAAATTTTACAAATATGCATTTAATGTCTTGCTATCAAAAACTCCCAAATGCACATTTGGTGAATTATGATATTAAACTGGGCAGGTGGGAATGTTCAGATTTTACTCAGCAACAGATTCATAAACAAAAATTAGGGAGTATACCATGAAGAAAAATTTGGTTAGTTTTAGAAATGCCCACAACAGGTTTTCTCAACTGCTTTTTTTTATATAATTAAATATTAGACCTTTAGATAAATGGAGTCTGTCCTGGTTCAACAGGAACATGGCTCATCCTTTAGAAGCCTGTGGCGCCCTCTAGTGGTGCTGCTGCCAAACACACTCATCAGGTAGCTGCTGATTCAGTCAGTCAAATTTTCTGTGTCTGTTTAAAAGTGACTAAAGATTTGTAACATTTACAGTCATCAGAAAGCAGGTTCCATCTGTGTGCAGCATTGTAGCTAAAAGCAGCTTCACCCTGTTTGGTTCTGACCCGAGGTTCTACCAGCTGACTGCTTCCTTGGGATCTCAGCCCTGTTGGGTTTGTTTTCTTCAAAGAGCTTAGATGGGTATTTTGGCCCCATATCATTGAGTGGTTTATAAACTAGCAGTAGCACTTCAAAATCTATTCTGTAGGTAACTGGTAGCCAGAGTAAAGATTTAAGAGCAGGAGTGATGTGGTCAGCTCTCCTGGTTTTTGTTAGAACTCTGGCAGCAGTGTTCTGACTGAGCTGAAGAAGTCTAATGGTCTTTTTGGGAAGGCCGGGGAGATGAAAGCATCTATTAGCTTCTCTACATCTGGGCTTGATGTGACTAGTGAAGCTGAGGTCTGAGTCATTTATGCTGCTATAGGCCTAGACTGCTGGGGGTCCTCCCATGATGCTCTGAGCTCCTCCCTTCTGCTCTCCTCTCTCTCTCCCTGTACCTTTCCTCAGGTAGCCCTGGAGCTCAGTTTCTTTTTGAGCAGTGACCAGCTGCATCAACCTGTCAAGTGTTTTACAGCTTGTTGTATCTTGTTGCTTTTCTCTTCTCTCTCATCTGTTCACTCACCCCAACCAGTCGAGGCAGAAGGCCGCCCACCAAGAGCCGGGCTCCATCGGAGGTTTCTTCTGTTAAAGGGAGGTCATCTCCCCACTGTCACCAAGAGCTGTTCTTTTTCCCTCTATAATAATAGCAAGGTCTAGACCTTACTTTGTAAAGTGTCCTGAGATTACCTTTTGTTTTTTGACAGTATACAAATAAAATTGAATTGAAACTGAATTCAAGGAGGGGCGTAACCAGCATCCTGTTGCTTGATATACATCCACTCTGATAAATCTTTGATTATGTGTGTCTTTAGTGAAGGAAGAGTTTGTGTCAGAAGAGGAGGAGGAGGCTGCCGTGAAGGATGCTCTAGTGGAGGAGATCCTCCAGCAGGGAGACACACCCATCATCTATCCTGAAGCCCCTGAAGACGACCAGAGTCCAGCCGAGACTGGAGGCACCGATGAAAACGGTAACACTGCCCCACAAATACACTATTGCCCATTACTGGTTGGCTGTGCTGATTCTAAAATACAGCCCCAAATCTCATTACTGGCCCTGAAATGCAACCGTCAACGTTTTTTGGAACCTTCACGAGGCAAGATTTGAAGCTTGATGCAGTACAAACAAAGCCCCACCAATTCACATGTTGTGGATTTGCTTTGTTGTTGCATTATTTATTCCAAACTACACAAGTGAAAACTAAAGGAGAAAATCTGGACTGAGCTTTTGGTCCAGAGAAAACAGGACTCATCAAGAAGTCTTACAGAAGGAAAAGTCTGGCCTGTTGTTTATGCTCTAGTGAAAAATCATAAGAAAATTAGAATACTCTTTGCTAAACATCCGTTTATGTTAGTATTATGTTATTGAAACAAAAACTGAGATTGAGCACGCAAGCATAAGAAAGAGACAAGTGCATTAGTAAAAAGTGAAATAACAGACTGTATGTTATAAGAAGGTTTGAGGACTTTAAGAATCACCCTCCATGTACATCACTGTGTTGTCTCTAACATAGGCACACCAGATTCCTTCTCCCAGCTGCATACGTGCCCCTACTGCTCCCGGGGCTACAAACGCAACGCCTCACTAAAGGAGCACATCAAGTATCGCCACGAGACCAGTGAGGACAACTACAGCTGCTCGCACTGCAGTTACACCTTCACTTACCGCTCGCAGCTGGAGAGGCACATGAGCCACCACAGGGGTACAAGGGAGCAGGTAACATCAGAGCCAGCATGAACTCAGTCAAAATGCAGTTTTATCATTTGTTTCCTCATTTTTTTTTTGCCATTGTGTTTTTTCTGTCTCAGCGTCACGTTTCCCAGTCAACAGGAGGATCAGGAGGACTAGGCGGAACTCGCAAATTCAAGTGTACCGAATGTTCCAAGGCCTTCAAATACAAGCATCACCTGAAGGAGCACTTGCGCATTCACAGTGGTGAGCTACTGCTACAGCAAACACACACACTCAGCAGCCTGGCACACACCACGCTGCTGCTCAAAGTCCAGGCTACTTGGGTCTTGCTTTCCGTCATTGCACTGCTCTGATGTGACCTGCAAATGGAGGGCAGGAAGTGTTTTTCTGCATAGGAAGCCTTGTCACAAGTTCTCGAAATGCCTGTGGTCTGTGTCATTAATGGATTCCCAAATTGATCAAACCCAGAAAGCAAGAGGAGCTTTTACTGAGTACCAAAAGAAGTTGTTCATAAAGATGGGCAGACCTTGGCCCCATTGGCCCTGTAATCTATCTTGCCTGTTCAGCCTATTCACTTCCTGCCCTCCATCAAAACCTTCTCATAATAGTCGTGATTACAAATGTAAAGTTTGTTGTAGATATGTAAGATTTGTACAAGGATTTAGAGGAGTGCTTTCTTACATTAAGTACATAGAGTATGTCTGGCCTTTTAAACTTGTAGAGTTAAGAATGTGAATGTTAACAACAAAAAAAAATGCAAAAGAGACAAAAAGTTGGAAATTGCACGAAATCCGCAAAACAGAAACACATAGCCATTAGCTGTACTGCACAGAAATTGGGGCTAAGGTCTGTTTTTCCAACTTGATGATTATACTGTTTTTCAGTACTACAAACAGTGTTCAGTACCAAGAAAGTGGTGATAGTTGGGCTGAATATCAAACCTCAACAATACAAAGAAAAAAGTGGCACATGAAAAGTAGGGAAACAGTGGATGAGTTTTCATAACGTCACTGTGTGCCTCTTTTAGGTGAGAAACCATACGAATGTTCAAACTGCAAGAAGCGCTTCTCCCACTCGGGTTCCTACAGCTCCCACATCAGTAGTAAGAAGTGTGTGGGTGCAGCAACCCCCAACGGTGTCGCTCAGCCCTCAATTAAGTCGCCCCCACCCACCACACAGAGCACGCCTGTTGTAATCGCCCCGGCCCGTGTGATTCTTAAGGAAAAGGTTGAAAGTAAGCCCCTCCAGGAGCAGCTCCCTGTCACCCAGATCAAATCTGAACCTGTGGAATATGAGTGTAAAGCTGTGATGGCGACACCAGCTACTTCAGCTGGTTTCAATGGCGTGGTGAATGGAGGAACTGCTCAGCCAGCTGTGGTCCCAGCCGCAACGCTGCCTCAGGGTGTGGCTATGGTCGTGCCCACCGTGGGTCTGATGTCGCCTGTCAGCATCAATCTGAATGACTTGCAGAATGTGCTCAAGGTGGCAATGGATGGGAATGTACTAAGGCAGGTGCTGGGTACAGCCAACGGCGTGGTGACACAGGGGAAGCAGGGAATTGTAATCGTGCAGCCCCGGCAAG